CGTGACAAGAAGTGAATGGAGTGACTTATATTAAAAAGAGCACTAACTTTGTGGATAATCAAGTATTTAGTCCAATCTAGATTTCACCACTCTCTTTACGATTTATCCCACAGTTGTGCGATCCGTCCATGTGTGCTATCCCATTGCTCTGTTACTGCTGACCACTTTGTCAAAATAGTCTTTCGTGAATCAGAGGTGCTGCAGAACAAAATAAGAAGAGTTGGGAAATATTGTCGTTTTTTTCCACAAACTTGTAAATTTGTCAATTTTCTTTAAAGACCTATTTTGAATGGCATAAATCAAGTTTTAAAGTACGAAGATTAATTGACCTTCAGTCAATTTGTGCGGGCACATTTTCACCGCTTTATGCTGTTTAGAGGAGGAGGAGGAGGAGGAGGAGAAGGAGGAAGATAGTGTTTTTGCAATTTATCACTTCATGAACACACTGAATTGGTCAAATCAGAGTGTTCTAATCCGTTTTCAAGGAAGTTAACTTTTGTATTTTTATTTTTAACCTCAAAGATTATACTTAACCACAAGTGAACAATAAAATTTCACATTAAACTGTGTCGTGTTTGACTTTCTTAGTTTGGCACTTCTGCTCCCTTTGCGATGTAAATCCAGAAGTACGTTGCACTACTTAAGCCCGAGTCAATCCAAATCTTCTTTTGAGGATTGTTTGATAGAATCTGTAGAACCGAACTCATTATACAACTTTAGATTGACACACAAGCCTAATAGATAAGGTAAAAGCACTTCGCACTGCCTGTTCACTACCAATGTCTCAAAGGAAAGTCAATCAGCACAAACGACCAACCAAAAATGGGATTTGTATCAAAACAAAATATCCTGTTTTTTTACACCAACGCGTGTGTGCAGTGTGTTATTTATCATGTACTGGTAACGCATGCCATATATGCATGGTCCCGATGGTAAACGCGTTAAGGATCTAGCACAAGGCTTGCACCATATCCATGCAAGCAGAGCTTCTCAAAATGGGATAGTTCTAATAGGTCTACCTTCCTTCAAGGTAGTAAATGCTATTTT